TGTAGTGTCTGTAATCCGTTGTCACATTTACCATTCTTCCTGAACTTGAACCACACTTTGTAACTGTCGTTCACATTGTATCATGACGTTTGTTTTAATGTTACGAATACAATTTTTCTTGGCGCGACTTCCCTGCTTTTCGCTGAGTCAGTGAAATTGCATCCGATTGAGCTGATTACTGTTTGCTGAAGTCGTGAGATTGGATTGTGTTTGTGTGAACTGTCGAACGTCACAATAACTCCTTGTGACAATTTTCAGCTGTGATAACTGTCTACCGTGGAATTTACCTCTAAAACTCGAACTATCAGTGGAGAATATCCTTCTTACTCTGGATATATTCTTCACCGCCGAATACAATTACTGCACAACATTTCGTGTAGTGGAATTATTGGACCTCCAAGTTAGTGAGTCTATTCCGTTCACTTGTCCATTTCTTATTGCCATTTGTTATTTCTAAGCTGGTATTTTGGTTGTATATTCTATCGAACACGCATACATAGGTCCTTGTCCACTACACTTAGCTTTGGCGTCGGTGCATATAGTAATAAATGAAAATGGTTTATATTATAAATATAATACTATTATTATTATATTATAATATTATTATCTTTGCAAAATTAAACTAGAAGCAACCATGACAAAACCGAACCAATTGAAAGACAGGGTACAGTATTCGACCTGACGGAACGCACCAGTTTTGCCGGATGAAAGTGTCTCTCATTCATGTTTAGCCTCTTTATCATGCGCTTTGCCCACAATTTTGGTTTTAGCTTCAGTCGATGGACGTTGTGACCTATGCCCTCTGTGGCCTGGGGGATTGGCGCAAGAAGACACAATAAACACATAAGCGCAAATTTTTGTGGTTTTAGCCGAGGACTTTTCCCAAGGCTGATCAAGCAATGCAAAAATCGGGGCTCATGCCATTGTGATCTGATCCGTCCAACGTTGTGATACGTCTAAAGATCCATGATTCCCTCAGCAAGTCCTAATTTAATACCACCGAATAGACATTTAAAAAATCATTGTTGACCCCGGATCAAAGCAAAATTTAGCTCTTAATATTTCCTATGAGTTATCTCAAAAAACGTCTATTTTGCAGGTCAGAGAACTGGTAAGATAACTCAGCAAACTGGGCCCAACATATCTTAGGTGGCCTTCACCTCTTATTC